TCAGTCAGTCTGTATAGTCTGTACTGTACCGATAGGTACACTATACCGACTGCTGGTGTACACAGCGCCCATTACTCCTGGCAGACTGTGTACATTCCGAACTATACTTCCTGGTTGACAAGACCACGTTTTATTGGATATTACTAATGGTGGCTGTATATTGGATAACCCTCATACTCATCAGGTCTTTCCTTTAAAATTCCATATTTTCCACGAAACTAATTGAAATATGGAAATGAGCCTCATTTTAGAATTATAAAGCACATACCTAGCGTGGATTGGAGGAGACCTGCCCTGGATAATTTCACATAAACCATAACAGCTCTTCATCTGCAAGTTACTAAATGACCTGCTTGGGGCTGTGCTGTCTGCAGCTGATACAGGAAGCATTTGCACATTAAATCACAATCATTTAGTTTAAAAATATATATATATTTTTAATTAAAATTGAAATAGCTGATAATATTACCAATGGCTGTATCCAATGACAAAATCTTTCCACAGTTGCTAGTGTAATGAGATTTAATTTGTAAGTTGGCACATATATAATTAATTGGGGCGCTGGAAGATTTACAAAATACACTCCAAATCGATACATTTGCCTATCAAAACTAAAAACGCCTCTCTCTCAGTCTGCTCTTACATAATTGAGTAAGATTGTGAGACAGCAAGAAAATTAAAAAAAAATCAGCTAGGACTTGAACCTGACTGTCAACAATCAGAAAAAAAACATAGCTCTTGCAGAAAGACAAAGGACCCTTTTAATCCCCTAAACAGGCTAGCTCCTAATAGGAATTTTATGCATTCTAAGAGCTGGGGATATAGGGATAGAGGGGGGAAAATGCCGGAAATTGGGTTGATATGAAAGGCAGTTACCTGGAAACGGTGCTTTCCATAGATGGCTGGACTGGGTTTGATCCTTAGAGCAGTAGACTTGTCCATCCCACCCGTTAGGCAGAGCCCAGTGCTGGTAGCCTTCCATAGAGATCAGAGTGTCATGCCTGGGCTCTGGGTGGCTACTGATCCCTGGCACCACTGACATGTCCAAATACCCAGGCACCGCCTGGTAAGAACTGGCAAAACTAGGATAAAATGCAAATTCCTTGGCCCTGCTGGAGAAATCCTCGCTTTGCAGAGAGTTGCTGGGCTCTGGGTATTTCTCATTGGGGTGGTAGGAACAGGGCTTCTGGTGCAAATTCACGTTATGGGACTGAGACAACCTGCAGCCATAGTAGCTGCTTCCAAACGGGTAGGCATAACCAAGGGAAGCGTTGGATGAAGAAGGGGGTCCTGGGCATTGCCTGGCAGCCTCTGGGGTGGTTATATCCGTGTACACAGGTCCTTGGTGGGTCCCAATGGTGCTGGAATGGCGCCCCAGAGCTGGGTGAGAAATATAATCCCTACAGTGAGTGCTTGAACAGTTCCCACTCAGTCCCTCCATGGCTGGGCTGTTCTTATGAGTCTTATCATTCGGGCTTGTTTCATACACGTACATCAATGTATCCGCCCAGTGTGGATGCAGGAGCAGGGAAGTCGTCATAGCATGGTCTGGCCGTGCTTTTTAAAAGTCAGCTTCCCAAAAGAGAGTCACCTAATTTCCTTCAACATTATTGTTTCATGTGAGCGCCTGCGCAGAGAGGGCGCAGGAGAGAAGGGAGGGAGGGAGGCAGGTCCCTCAGTCTGCTTCATTAAGAAATCTGGCTGTCACACGTGACTTCAGGCAAATAGACAACAACTAGTCACACACTGCCCCCACCTCAACACACACATAGACACACAGCATTCCCCCAATCCCATCCCCCCTCCTCAATCCCAGCCTGACTCCAGCACAAGACAGGAGAAGGGGAGGAAAGGCTGCTCCCCCAGAATAGGAACTGGAAGCCTTAAAGGCAAAGGGTGACACCCACTGATGGCCATGTAAGAATATTAAAAAAAAAGAGATAGTTGTTTAGCCGACGGAGGAAAATATAGTATGGAATGGATATTCTGAGTTATTATTTTTCATTTTGAAAAGGGGTGGTTTAGCATGAAGTTACTGGGAGAATGTATATTTGTTGCAAGTAATTTGCTAAGAAGTTGTTAGGTTATTATTTGTGCTGGAAGGGACATAGAGAATGAGAACTTCTATTTGTCTGATTTTGATCGCCACTCTTGTATGTTTTATTTCTTTTTGTTTATACATATACTCAAGCTAAAATTAATTCATATGATAATACAAAATAGTCATTTTCTGCGCAATTTTAAGGTTAGCTATCTATTTATGTCTCTCATCATTTAACATTTGCAAGAAAAATAATTTAATTTTTTTTTTTTAATAATTTCTATAATTTTTATAAACAAGATACTTGGACTTTCTGATTTAATCTATTTAACTGGTCACTAAATGTTATATAGCTTGGTATTTTATATGAACTCTCATATAAAATTTAAGATAAAATATTTCTCTGATGATACATTTTCTCAGTGTATTCTCCGTGAATATATGTGTCTGGATATGTAAATCAGAAACTATAAATATATATATAAAATATATTGTGTCTGGATATGTAAATCAGAAACTGAAAAATTATATTTCAGATTTGCGAGAAGCCATCATGTGATATTTTGCTGATTACTGCAAATCTGACATTTCCTAATGTAGATTAATGTATGATATACGTTACATTGGAGAGAGAGAGAGACAGAGAGAGAGAGAGAGAGAGAGAGAGAGAGGCAACCGATTTATAAATCAAGTATAGATATGTCCAGTCCGCTGGAGTTAAAGTATTCTTTAATCTCAGTTGTTTTGGCCCATATTTTGCACATTGTCTCCACAGTCACCAGAACGCCCCATGAATTGAGGAATCCCCATAGTGTTACCATAAAAGGCTAACTGATGTGTTACAAAGTGTTACAATTTCACACAGTGTTGCCAGGGAATTGTTCTTTTGTATGATATTTATATGAGTGTTCCTAAAAAAAAAAAAAATTTTAAAAGAGAGAGAGAAAAAATTGAGCCACCATTGAACCACAGACCCTTCTCTTCACCAGGGCTCTCTTTTGGGCATTTCTGTCGCCGGAGTAGAAAATAGCAGTGGCTTTCCTGATTGTGGTGGTAATTCACATTTCCCATGAACGATAGTAAACCTTTTCATTGTCCAATGACCTAAAAACAAGTTCTCTGGGACACCCATCCATCTGCAGTGCCCAAACCTTCCAGAAAGCCCTCCGCCTCTGACTTAGCTCCACTGCCATACATTGTTTGGGACATTCCTGGCTTTTTATTGTTCTGCTTCAAAAATGTGGGGAAGGCCAAGGTCAAGGTAGGATGTCAGACAAACGGGCCCTTAATTAATGTCTAGACAGATAGGAATGGTGCTAGCATTCGCAGTTGAAAAGACACTTTAAATCGCATCACCTATCCTTGGGATTAAGCGTTATTTACTGTCAAATGTGTGTAATCCCTCAGTCTGGGCCAGGACTGCAAGTCTTAACTTCCTTTCAGGCACAACCATAGTTAGGTAGGATAAAAAAAAAAAAAAAGTATCCCCACCTTCCCCCAAAAAAGGTTCATTCATTAAACTGTGAAGTACCAATCATGCAAAATGTATATTACAAAACTTCAAAAAAATTCAGCATAGCTGGTAATATTTAAAAATAAATAAATAAAAATGGCCTTAGTTTGACAAATTCTGCTTTAGCCCCCAAACCTCAAGTTGTGTCTATTTGAGAGCCTACTAGCAAATTGAAGACCGAACTAGAACAATTTTACTAAGATGAATGTGAAGTTATTTCCCCCTTTAACCCTGATTTTTTTTATCTTCTATTCTACAATTTTGTTATCAAGCCACCATTGCTACCTTTTTAATGATCAGCTCTGATAATCTGGTAATTAGAGTTATTATTGCTTAGTATATAGACCCTAAAGCAAAAAGCACTGGGGATAGGGTATCTAGCTGACAAAGATGAGTCTAGTAACTAGTATTGCATCTCCTATTGTCTCAGTCCCAGACATGTTTTAGTACCCTTAGAGTAAATATGGTGGCTGGTTTATGGTGTTTACACTAAGAAATAATTGTATTTATTGCACTAATGTAAAGTGATTTAATGTTAAACAAAGGGGGGAAATACTAAAATAATAACAAAAAAATACTAAAATACTTGATCCAGTTGAATTGAAAAGTATCAAATTCAGTGAAATAATATAATGCAGCCCACATTTAAAACCTTATTTGGAGCTTTATTTATTCTCAGACTGGCTACAATAAAGTTCCACCTACTTCCTCTGCAGACCTAGATCAATGAGGGGCACTTAGCTGTGGCTAGCTTCAGTTGTCTGATGAGTTTGAATGTCAGGCTATTCAGTAGCCAGGCTGTATAATTATGATGTCAGAGCTTGAATAAATGAGCTCTTCAAGTCTTTAGAAGTCCCTCAAACTCAAGTAATCCCTCTTAAACATGGGTATGAAGAGCACTCCTTGAAATATAGCTTAAGAATTAAATTGAAAGGGAACCTGATTATTTTTTAGGCTTGGAAAAGGGTGTTACAGCTCAATTTTCAATGAAATACACATTTAATTAAAAATATCACTGGCAAGCCACTGTATCATTTGCAGATTAACTATATTAAAAAGAAACAGCTCAACATACAACAATTAAAAATGCTTCTATCATTAATAACAGTTATAATTTTATTTTTGTTATATTTAATTTGGGATTCATTAATAAGTTGGTAAGGATAGCATATGGCTTGCTAACACTGCACCCTTTTCCATATCCCCATATGATATGCTGAAATTTTAGACACAAACATAAAGCATGCAGTTTATTAAAGAACCTGAATGTGCATTGTATGAATTATTCCTTTTAATTCTGAATGCATTAAGGGTATTTACTAGAAATCAGTGGAAAGTTGGATATAAATCTCACAGTAGCATCATCGATGTATTTGTATGGAAACGTATTATAAATGTGAAGGATAAGTGTATGATTGATTACAACTAAGGTAAAATCTCCCCATAATATCTTTGGGGCCTAATCATTGATAGATGGTGTAGAACTGCTTCAACGGAAGCAATGCATCACTCAGGTTATAAGGTTTTAATCCAAATTTCAATATTAAGGCTAAATAGCCAAGCTGTGACATACAGGATTATTCACTAAAGTGAGAGTTCAAAAAGAAATTAACATTTTAGGCCAAAGTAGTTGAACTGAAAGCATAGTTGACTAAGATAATTTATCCAATTTGGCTACTTTGGCCTTACATTTGAAATGCACTTTGAATCCTCACTTTAGTAAATAACCCTGCATATCGGTGTTTAATAAATAAACTCCAGTGGGTTTCACCTGGATTTGGTGTATTCAAGCCAATGTTGTGTTTCGATGTGTGTGTGTGTGTGTGTGTGTAATAGAAAGGTGTAGATCTTGTTGAGATCATCTGGACTGGATCTCTTTAAGATCTCAGAGTGGCTTCTATCAATGTCCAGGATATTGGCCAAATCCTGCACTAGGAGGCGTTGCCACCGTCCCCTATACAGCTCTCCCTGTCATTCAGTGGATCCATCTCAGCAAGTTAAGCAATCCCAGAAACCTGAATAAAGAGCAAAGCATTCTGGTAATAGAGACAAATCTCACTGCTCTCTAACAATCTTTTAAAACAAAACGGCATTCTAAACATCAAGTAAAGATCACTGCATTCCAAACATACACACAAATAGACAGGCACAGACTCTGCATGTGTAATAAAAAGTATATCACCAAATACTCCCTTTATCTAAGTATGCAGAAGTATACCACTGACATAAGTAAAATGCTGCTTCACCATCACCATCAAGGTTTACAGTCCCAAAATTCCAAATTCTAATTAACAATAACCAAACCATTGTTCTAGTCATTCTGCTTGTAATGCTTTCTCCTTAAGAAAAAAATGATTAAAAAAGACAAACAAAAAAACAACTACAAAGCAAATTAAATCACTACACTGAGATCACAAACACACGACATTAAATGTATCGAAGTTACTGAAGGTTTATCACTTAACACGAAATTTCACTTATCAAATATTACACCAACAAAGTAACCCACAGTTACAACAAAGTTAAACACCAAGAACGTGAGACAATTAGAAACAATGCACTGCAATCACTAAATACTACAAAATCTCACCCTTTATCAAATATTAAACCAAAATAATGCACTTTTATCCCAGCACATTCCACTGAATGATTCAGTAAATTTGCCTTATATCAAACCAAAATATCACCGTTGTATTACATAATGCACCAAAATAATACACTCTGTAATAATACACACAAACACGTCAACATTATTATGAAATAATATACACATTTTAAACTCCGTTCACACACCACGCACGAATATTGCTGTAAGAATATAACACTACTGCCTATTATCATATAGTATACGAAATGAGTGAAATCTAAAGAAGTTATAACCCTTTACTATAACCACTTCCCACATTGTACGACAGTATCATTGCAGTCTAATCATCTAAATAATCTGAAACCAAATATAGGGTTCTGAACAAGTAAAGTAATTGTGTACTCTAATGAGATCCATGCAGACTAACCGGTTGAAGGATGCAATACTACTGGAGA